ACGCATAACCTCTGTCGTTCTCAACTCATTGCTGCAGCTAGCATGATTGGTTGATTCACGTATTCCGCTATCTACGCCATCATGCATGCATGGTGATATGATTATGCAATCACATATATACTACTACGCATCACCTTCAACTCCTTTCCTTCTCACTAGATTGAGCCCACCACTTTGCATCATTGTGTTCCAGCTTGTGCGTCAAACCAGTTATGGACTTTGCAACATTATTATGCTATATGCATATACGAGCTACTCTATTATCTTCTTCTTAAAGGATAAAAAAACCCTTCAACTCAAACCATGACTAAAATAAAATACACAGACCCGACATGTACAAATCTCAAAGCAATGAAGTAACTACAAATTTGTCAACATCACTCAATCTTGCTATCATGCACAAATGCAAAAAAAAAACACTGAGGTAGAATTGAGAAAAAAAAATGGGTCGCATCTCTAAAAGTTCCCAAAATCCATTTCTAATCTTGACATTTTTGTAAGATTGAAAAAAAAACATTTTCCAACAATTCCTTATCTCAACTCCTAGTTTTTTTTCTACACTTAAGAGAATCTGCCTATGTTAAATCTGCAATTCCTTATCTCAACTCTGCCTATGTTGTCTCAACATAGCAGGTCCCAAGCCCTGATAAAGGAGGAGGGTTGTGATAGGCGTGGCGAGCCAACGTTAAATCTAGCCATTCTAATGGAGATGAAACCCGAAAAATAACATACCCTAACTTGTTTGGGACTTAAAGGCTTTGGTGTTGTTGTTAAGAGAATCTGAAAGGATCAAGATGCCCAAGAGGGAGGTGAATTGGGCTAATTCTAAATTTTTACAATAAGTAAACCCTACACTTAGCCCGTTTCACCCCTTGTGCCTAGAATGTATTTTTATTGTTCTTTTGCACAAAAGTTATACACCCTAGGTTCCAATCCTACTCTAGGTTCCAATCCTACTCTAGCATGGCAATTCTAGAAATGTAAAGACATGAAATGAATTGCTCAAATGTAAATGCTCAAAGTAAAGAGAGGAAAAGAAACACGGCGATGTTTTCCCGAGATATCGGAGAGTCGCCACTCTCCACTAGTCCTCGTTGGAGCACCCGCGTAAGGGTGTAGCTCCCCCTTGATCCGCGCAAGGATCAAGTGTTCTATACGGGCTGATTCTTTGACACTCCGTCACGGTGAATCGTCCACAACCGCTCACAACATGACTTGTGTCATCCACAAGCTTCGCCGGATGATCACCAAACTCCCAATCACCACCGAGCCATCTAGGTGATTGCGATCACCAAGAGTAACAAGCACAAACTCTCACTTGACCAAGACAAGTCTAATGAGAAGGGTGGATGCACACTTGCTACTCCCTATGTACTAATGATGTCATTAATCTTGGATTATCAAATCTCAATCACCTCACTAGGCTCTTGCTCTCCCTTGCACTCCAAAGGTGTTTCTCAGCTGAACAAATGGGCAAGATTCCTCCCATAGATGAGTGGAGTAAGTATTTATACCCCCTCATTCAAAACATAACGTTTGGAGGCTGAGTCATCACTCTGTGGGCTGACCTAACGCTCCGGTCGGGGTGACCGGACTCTCCGGTCAGTTGTACCCATCACTGTGTTAGAGAGAGCTGTTAAGCTCTAACCGAACTCTGACCAGCGTCCGGTCAGCACCAACCGGACGCGTCCGGTCAAGAAAAAACCTTTCTGGAACCTTACTGGAGTCGACCAGACGCAGGCACCCCAGCGTCCAGTGCTCCTCCACTCAGTGTCCGGTCAGTACCAGAGCGGTTGCAGTTGATAAAATAAACTGACCGGACTCACCCTCCAGCGTTCAGTCACAACCAGGCCAACGTCCGATCAGTATCAGACGACTGTAGTTGATCAAATGAGCTGACCGGACTCACCCTCTAACGTCCGGTCATAACCAGACCAGCGTCCGGTCAGTCATTTGACACTTTATTCACTTCTAACTCAAAATCTTATGTGAATGAAGTTGGCTCCAATTGATCCTAGGACTATTCCTGAGCTACCTAGTGCTAGGTTTGACAAGTATACACCACACCTAACCCACTAGACTCACCTAGGTCAAGCTACTAGTCCATACCCCCCTTAATTGTACGTCCAAAGGAAAAAACAAAGTCCTAAACTACTCTAAGTGTCTCTTCAACTCTAAATGACACTTAGAACTAGCCGTCCTTAACCTTGTCGTCCATCCTTTAAAAACCGAAACGAATTCCATCGATGGGGGCATGAAAACCATAATTACCTAATCAATTGTCATTACCATGACTTAACTTTAAAATTGCCTCTACAAAACACACGTTAGTCATAATAATCTCGTGTCGTCATTAATCATTGAAACCCAACTAGGGGCCTAGATGCTTTCAGAATCGATCCAATCGCATGGAAATATATATGCACGTGTATCAGTCGACCAATCTGGGGTTGGAAGGATGTGGGGAAGAATATAGGGTAAGGATAGAGTTTCTAATGCAAATGTATAAGAGACAAAAAAAGTATAAAAATGGAAATAGTTTGGGATTCCTGGTGTAAAAATGTCTTTTATATCTTAGGAGCGAGATTTTAGAAATTGTAAGAGGAACCCACAAAATATGCTCTCACCTTTAATTATAAGTCACTTGGAAAACTCATTGATTTACCAATTATTTTTTATAAATTATTGGAGATGCTCAAAATTCCTGAAATTGAGCTGCTTAGACCATGGCCGGAATGGTTTATTCTGTTGCACATTCTAAAATCTGGTGTAAACACCTTGCTAAGTCCCTATGTTACTTTTTCATTAGTTTGCCGGGTGCCACTCACATTGCTTATGGATGTTTCAGAGTTATACTAAATTGTGGGTCTAAATTGTATTCTATGGATTTAGAGTATTTCCTAGAGTTTATAAAGTCCACTCTTAATCTTAATTTTTTTGACAAGATTAAAATAGCCCGCTCTCCAACAACTCCCTATCTCAACTCCAATCGCACAAAAATATACACACGTTTATCGATGGAGCAATCTAGAGGTGGAAGGATGTGGCGAAGAATACGGAGTAAGACAAGGTTCACAATACAAATGTATAGAACATAGATAGAATAGAATACAAAATACAAATCACATAGGATCTAGAAAATGGGGTTCTTTTATCTTTCATATAAGAGAGAAGAAATATAAAAAATGATTAGGGTTTTTGTAAATAGTTCGGAATTCCTGATGCAAAATTGTCTTTTATATTTTATGAGTGACATTTTGGCAACTCCAATCCCAACAAATATGCTCATAACTTTTTAGGCACTTAAAAAGCTCATTGATTTATTACCAATTATTTTTTTAGCCTCTTGGAGATCTATATACTCTTATAAAGCTAAACCCCATTAAATGTTTTCTCTCTTCATGCAAGGTGTCCACATCATTCCCAACTAAGTGTCCCACTAACTTACAATTCTTTCATGCAAGCTATCAATGTCATCCCTTATTAATTACAAAAAATGTCAACATCATCTCTATTATGTGCAATACTTTTAATCTCTAATCTATTAAAGTAAAGTCATTTATCACCGCTATTTGTTTCATCACCTATTTTTCTATAATGTGATCAAATATTCTATTGTTTTTTCTTCTATTAGCCATGTCATTCCTTATTAATTACAAAAAATGTCCACCCATCTCTATTATGCGCAATACTTTTAATATCTAATCTATAAACGTAAATTCATTTACATATGCTATTTGCTTCATCATTTACTCTTCTATAATGTGATCAAATATTCTATTGGTTTTTCTTCTATTAGCTTGGTGATTTTTTACCCGATTTAATAAAATAAAATAACATGCAAGTCAAATTCATACACACACACACACACAATATACAGATTTATTTTTAAGAAAATCTCACGGCAACGCACGGGGCATGCTTCTAGTTCTCTTAACAAACATATCTATACTTTATTTGTTTTTTCTATCGTCTATTAAAACTTATAATAAATCTCTTGTCGTTCCCTCCAGCGGCGCCGGACCTGGCCCTAAGACTCCTAGAGCCTAGGCCCTTGTAGTTGGCTCAATAAATCTTTATACCCCATATAATTTTTAGGCCCATAACTCCAGGCCCAACACCTCACCCGATTGAGCCTCCAACAGCGACTTCAAGTCTCTAATCAATATTTTATTCAATATTTGAATTGGATTGGAAACTGAAATGAGAAACATGGACGATGGATCTATAGATTCTTCACAACGATCAATCATCAGATCGATTTAAAAATGTATCTTCGTTTTAGTTATTTCTATGCGTGGCATTAATGGGAGCCTACAGAGTAGGGTAGAGGTGTTATGGGCAATTTTGACTGTTAGATAGAAGCACTAGCCTTTGAACAAATCCTGTAAACTTTTCTGTGTTTATTTGGACATCGATCGTAGCATCTACAATGCAACGCGATTCATGTAAACGGCACAGCAGTATTTGGCTCAGCTAGGGATAGCAGATGTGCAAATGGATGTTGTTGAACATCCGGCGCACAAGGGTCCAATGTCTGAACAATGGAAACACAGGTACTGTACGGTCCAATGTTTGGACTTTGGAGGGTGTCCATCAGCACTTAAAATAAAAAGATAGCGTCGTGACAAGGCAAGGACTTGCTTCCAACCGAGCTACGCTCATCTCACTTCTCTTTCTTGTTATATGTTCGATAACGGAGAAAAAGAATGCACAATTTCGTTGGTGAAGCGTCATCAACAAGGGTGGATAAATTAACTTTGCAAGTGCGCACACAACACACATTCTTGAGTGCTTTGCAAGTGGATATATATTAACATGAATTTTACAGATGATACGCATGCGCGCATGCATGATTCTAGGCTTGTAACAGTACAAAAAATAGTTTGCTGACTACTAGTGGGATGGAAAACCTTAATTTCAAAGTTTCCCGCTGCGTGCAGCAGAGCATCAAGATCAGTAACAACAATGTCGATCGACAAGAAGAAGAATTAATGAAGCTAGGCAAGCAGACTCTTTTGGCACATGGTGGTTCCCTGGAAGCTCAGGATGGCGTGCTCCGCCGCGATCTCCATCATGTCGGAGTGGGTCATGGGGTGGAAGCCCAGTGAGCCTGTCCACATGGGCAGGAGCTCCGGCACGGCGGGCAGCACCAGCCTGCGGACGTCCACCTGTCGCAGCACCTTCTGGAGCTCCGTGACGAGGAGGTGGCACATGCCCTGGCGGCGGTGCGCGAAGCGGGTGCCCACCAGAGGCAGCTCCGCCACGTCGGTCCCGAACACCCGCAGCGTCCCCACGGTGATGAGCTCGCCGGCTTTCTCCAGGCCCACCACGTAGTACCCGCGGAAGTTGAGGCGGCGCAGTTCCGACTCTCGGTTGAAGACGATGTCGGCGGTGAGGTCCGTCTGCGTGCGGGGCTCGATCAGGGTCACGAAGCACTCGTGGAGCACGTCCAGCGCGGAGCACAGCTGCCCGTGCTCTGCGGCGTCCGTCGTCTCCTCCTCCTGCTGTTGTTGTCGTCGCCGCCGGCGCAGAATGTTGAGTGATACGCCTTCTACTGCAGTGGGGATGGCCGCCGCAGCAAGGCCCTGCAGATGCTGGAATACCTTGCTACATTCGGGACTGCAAAGCCACGGCCAGTGTCCTTGTTCCTCTAGTCGCCGGTACCACTCCGCTGCGCTGTCTTCTTCTTCCTCGGAACCTCGGCGTCTCACGCATCCCACATGACATTCACGCTCGCATTGCTCGCAGTAGATGATGGTCTTGTCCGTGAACCCAGCGGTGGTATCGTGATCGAAGTCGCTGCCGCCGCACACGCCGCATCTGCATGACGGACAGAACCAGTCGCCCTCCGGAGTGGCCTGCAGGGCAACGCAGGCGTGATGGAACGCCGACGGGCAGTTGTCGCAGAGCAGCAGCTCGCCGCCGTCGTTGCAGATGGAGCACACCGAGTCGCCCTCCGGGTCGCTGCATTTCTCCTTCACCCTCACGCCGCCATTCCTAGCCGCGACGACGGCGACGTCGCGCTTCATTAGCTCCACCAGGCACTGCGACAGGGACCTGTCGTCCTTGAGGAACACACATGCCCAGGCCTCACGGCGGTCGGTCACGGTCCCCCGGCGTGCGGTGGCGTGTGCCGCGAACTCTGCCACCGTGAAGGTGTTGTTGCAGCACATGCATCTGATCCCCTCGCAGGTGATGAACCCGTCCCTCGCCGCCGGCCCGTGCCTCGCCGCCCTGTACGTCACCTTGTCCCTCGGCACCACGATGTCCTTGTCGATGAGCACGGACAGGAGCGTCCGCGAGCGACGCTGGCACGCCGACGCCGACGCCGTGCTGTTGGGCCGCAGGACGCGCGCTTGGCTCTTGGAGGCGGTTGCTTTCTTCCTCCTCTTCTTCCTGGTCAGGGTGGTCGTGGTGATGGATTTCTTGATCAGCTGGGTGCCACCGGCGCCCACCACTTGACAGCACGTTTCCTTCTTCTTGATGGTGGTGCATTTCTTCATCGTCACGTTCACGGCGTCGTCGCTGCCGTCGCCGATCAGTTCGGATAGTTTCCTTTTCTTCCTGATCATCACAACCGGGCGGCAATGGCTGGTGCCGCCGTCTTCGTCTCCAACTCTGCTGGGGCGCACAGCACGCAGTATGGTGGCAGGAGTCGCATGCACCCGGCGTCTATCAATCTTGCTGCTGCTGTTGGAAGCCGAGGCCGAGGCCGTCGTCGGCAACGCGGCTTGCCGGCTGGTCTTGAAGGCCTGGCAGGCGGTGTGGAGGGAGATGTAGGAGCGTCCGGTGGGCGCCCTGTAGCGCAGCTCCTCCCTGCCGTTGCTCTTGAGCTTCATCCAGAACGTCCACCCGGTCGACAGGAGGTGCCTCTTGGCGCTGTCGCGCAGACGGTTCGCCCTGCGGCCCCTGGCCCGATCGTTTGTCGCCATGAGCGCGATGTACTCGGCAATGACGGCGTCCTTCTTCTGGTCGTTATTGCCGCCGTCTTCCTCCTCCGCTGGCTCATCGTCGTCTTCCTCCTCCGTGTCATCATCGACTTCCTCATCGTCGCCTTCTTCTTGCTCCCTGCTGCTGCCCCTGCTGGAGTCCTTGGTCTGTGGCGGAATAATCTGCTGCTGCTGCTGCTGCTGCTGCTGCTGCTGTTCAAACTGAGAGGCGGAGGCGGCGGCGGCGGCGGCGTTATCGCTATCGACGATGAGGTGAGAGGCGGCGGCTCTATCGATGATGAGGTCCGGCAGGGAGCAGTAGGACTTGTCGTCATCTGGCGCCTTGTAGCGGAGCCTCGTCAACATGGCGGCGTTGGGCCTGGACAGGATCGTCCACCCCAGCGCCAGCAGGTGCTTCTTGACCGCGGCCCTGAGGCCCTCGTCTCTGCGGCGTACGCGGGAGGACAGGTCCCTGCGGCCGTGGTCCGTCTGGAGCAGCTCGGCCACCTGCGGCGAGAACTCGGCGTCCAGCACCGCCGGCTGCCATGGTTTCGAAGCGGCGGCCGCCTTGGTCATGGTGTATGGTGATTTGATCGACGACGATACAGTAAGATCTTGTGCCCAACAAGAACCACCACTAAACAAGGAATAGTACTCCGCTGCAGCCTAACCTTATATAGAAGTAGAACCGAGACGAGACCGCAGGAGAAGATGAATATGGAGTTCGACACGGTTACGGTTGCGTTGCGGACTCCATTGAATTCAATTCCTCCAACCTCAATCTCAATCCGTTAGCGGCAAGGAATTAGGAACGCAACAAACTCAAGAGGAACTCGTAGCCTAGTAGTCACAACAGACCGGACGATCGGGTTCCGACTCTCTCTGGGCCCATGGAAGCCCAATTCGCACCAACAACGGCCCAATAATCACTCCTCTTCTTTCTACCTCAGGCCCACTCGGTCTTCTTCCACGCCAGTACGCCACCGTCCAGCCGTTTCGACTTCAACTTGGAAGCAGTCAGCGACTCACCTCGCCGTCGCCGTCGCCGTGCACATAGATGTTCGCCAAGCGGCTCTTCCACAAGGCACTCGTGCATCATCAGGTCCCTCCCTCCCTCCCCACCCCCATCCTCCTCCCTCCCTCGCTCCATTCCATCTTTCGATTTCATCCAACTACCATCCAACTACCTGCCGCGTCCTTTCTGCTAAAACTACACTGGCAGCTCAGGTTTGCGGAAGCGGAACCGGAATCCGCCCGGCGTCGATGCTTGTCATGGCTTCACCACACCTTGCTGCTTCTGCTTCTGATTCCGTTGCTTTGCTGCTGTTGCTGGATTGCTGCAGGGAGGGGGAGGATCAGCCTCAGCACCGGCATCACCTGGGGATGCCATCCAAATGGACGCGCAGATCTCGACTCACTGCGGGGTGCCCTACACAGCATCACTGCTCGCCTTCGATTCCGTCCAGCGCCTCCTCGCTGTCGCAACTCTGTGAGCTCCCTTCCAAACTTCGCCTTCACATCACAATCAACCCTTTCAACTAAACCACTCGCACACAGTTCATTCCATTGTCAACTTGACCTTTGCTAATTTATGCCCCGCCCCCTCCGTATCAGTTACTTGCGATTGCGGTATAACAGAACAAAGAAACTACTTTCCCTTTGCATAAACATGGAAACAAGTTCTTTAGTTTCTCTTGTTGTATATGTCTCAGAGACCTAGCCCTTATTTTAATACATTAACAAAGCTGATGGTAATTGTATGGAGATATTTTCATCACTGCTGTGCTTCAATCTACCATACTGTTCATTTTAACCCTGTCTATTGTTATGTAGATGCTGATAGCTTTTCTGCGCTCCAAACTGCAGGGATGGTAGGATAAAAATATTCGGAGGTGATAACATTGAAGGCCTCTTTATATCACCAAAGAGTGTGCCATACAAGTTTTTGCAGGTTACGCTGTTAACTATTTCTCTTGTTGTTTATTATGTACAACAGGCAACATCAAGTCCAAGTTGTTTTTTCTTTTTTGGTTTCAACGAATGTTTTGCTTCTTTACAGTTTATTACAAACCAGGGGCTTTTGGTTGCAATTTCCAATGAAAATGAAATCCAGGTGAGCCATTGACAGATGCCAAAGTTTTTCTGCATTCAAACTCTTTTTTTTTTCTTCTAGTTTGGGGATTCTGGAGCCTGGAGCTCATATGTTAACGTCATCTATGTGGTGCTCATGTGTTGGTTCATACTGCAAGTTTCTTTATTATATGCTCTTTGAAGACAACCTGTGAAAAAAAAAGTGACTTGGCCAACCTAGGAGGAACTACCTAGCCCCTGAAATCTATAAGCATGTTATTTATTAGTGTTAGTGACCATTTTATATATCATATATATCTGTCTTGTAGGTATGGAATCTTGAGTTCAGGCAACTATTTTATTCATCCCAGTGGGACGTCAACATTACTGCTTTTGCAGTCATAGAGGGGACCTTTATGATGTAAGCTACAGAAACGACTACTTATTTATTTTAATATCATATGTACTTGGTTTGGCTTTTGTATTCTAAATTCTCGCTTTGTATTCAGGTACCTTGGAGATGAGAATGGTCTTCTCTCTGTATTGAAGTATGATGTAGATGATGGGAAGCTTCAAATAATGCCATACAATGTTCATATCCATTCTTTAATCGGTATTACCTCTACGCCTTTCTTGCCAAATGTTAACTAGAACTAGAATGTTGCCAAATGTTAACTAGAACTAGAATGTTTCTTCCAGTTGCTTCATGTTGATGCAAAAAAACTGGTGGTGTTGCTGCTGCATGAAGTTTAAATGTTGAAGAAAACTCCATTCCTGAGCAAAGATAGTTATAGTATGTTACTAAGTTTTCAGCACTCAACAGAAATATATGATGTTAGTCACAATTGCATAAGCAAATGATTTGAGTCAATAGAAATTTTAGTGAACTTGAGCATGCCATCAATATTCATAACTTACTGCAATTTTAGTGCAACTTGAGCATGGCCATCAATATTCATAGCTTACTGTAACTTTCTGCTATTTATTCATTTACTTGAACTAGAAGCATGCTTACTGTTTACGCATTGAGGTTCAAAGTTAATATCTTAGCATTCAGTTCTTTTATTTTTTCACAGAAAGAGCTGGTGTTTCGTTACAGGATCCTCAACCTATTGTTGGAATACTGATCCAGCCTGACACTTTTGGGACAAGGTAAGGTCTATGTAACTTGTAGAACTTTGGTTGATATCCACTAGTTATTTTTGGGATCTTTACCAACAGATCTGTCGATAGGTGATAGTATCGAATATTAGGATGGTCAGACTTCGCAACTCAAAAATAGATATATGGAAATTATGGTACTATCCTCAGTTCATCACTTTGTTTTCTTATACATTAAAGCAATTAAGGGATCCATAACATGTCCTAGAATACCATAAATAAGGTTTTTATGCAAGAAAGTTTGAAAGAAGAACGATGGCTTTGTTTTCACCCGTTATTCTCATGTAGATGTAGAGGAAAATTTATTTTGTGAACCTGGAGCACTGAAGAATATTAGCCTTTATGCAGGTTGCTAATTGCATATGAGAGAGGGTTGTTGGTTCTTTGGGATGTATCTGAGGACCGTGCAGTTTCTGTTAGAGGCTACGGGGATTTACACATTAAGGGTCAAATTGATGGTGCTCAGAGGGATGCTGGTGAAGATCAACTAGATACTACTATTGATGACAGTGAAGAAGAAAGAGAAATTTGCTCTCTTTGTTGGGCATCGAGAGAGGGCTCAACTGTTGCTGTGGGCTATATAACAGGAGACATACTTCTATGGGATATGACTACAAGATCGTCTAGACAAGGCAAGCAAAGTGACGTTTCATCTAATGTTGTTAAGCTACAGCTGGCCTCAGGGAGTCGTAGGCTTCCTGTTATTGTCTTGCATTGGTCTGCTGGGTCAGCAATACATTCTACAAAGGGAGGGCATCTTTTTGTATATGGCGGTGATGATATGGGATCTGAAGAAGTTCTCACGGTTTGCCTATTTTTTCTTTCTCATTGTTACGATTTCCTTTCTTTTGCATGCCATCTTAGAGGCATTGCTGTGCACAATTGATGCCTTCTTAGGTTAACATTGTACTTTTTTGCTGCTTTACAAATTTGGTAAAATGAATTCCTAGCTCAGTGAACTCAAATCATAATCACCTGGCTGTGAGACGTGTTTAGTGTAGAGATACAATACTAGCTTGGCATGGCAACATAGGCAACATGGGTTTGTAAGAAACATGATCAACCATGAGAATTTCCTGCAATTATAAAGAACTGTTTCCCAGGCAGAACCCATTTTGTAGATCCAAATAATTCAGAAGATATATTTTTTTGCTTCAGGTCTCAGTAGTCAAATAATAATGTATACATACCTATCAGAATCACTTTCATGAACATGGAAGAACATAATCTTTTTAATTATTTCCCAAATCTTGCACTGCAGAAAACTTGGCCTCCATCAGTGACAAAATTGCTCATTCTCTTGCAGGTTCTTAGCCTGGAATCGACTGCTGGATTAGAATCAGTGAGATGCATGTCACGAACAGACCTCAAGCTTGATGGATCCTTTGCTGATATGATTCTTATTCCTGATACTGGGGTTCCTGATAAAAGCAGAACTTCTGCACTTTTCATTTTGACAAATCCTGGACAGCTGAATTTTTATGATGGTGGTTCTCTATTTTCTGTGCAAAATTCAAAAGAGGGAAACCCTCTACCTGAAGCACAGAAATTTCCAGTTGCAATTCCTACCATTGACCCCAACATAACGGTCGCTAGTCTTTGTTCACTAACCGAAAGTGAATTTCCAAATATTTCATTGAAGGTGCATTCTGCTTAAATTTGGATATTATACTCTTATATCATCATTACTTATGTAAGACCATTTCGCTGTGGAATTTCTGTAGAAATTTTGTGCTAGGAAAAATGCTGGGTGTTTCATACCAGCGAACATGAAATGGCCTTTGACTGGTGGGGTTCCAAGTGAGATGTCGCTGAACGAAGATCATGCTGTTGAAAGAATATACATTGCAGGCTACCAAGATGGTTCTGTGAGAATATGGGATGCAACATTTCCTGTTTTAATGCCAATGTTTGTCTTGCATGGAAAGGTCAGTCTCATTTATATTTATATTATTACTTGCATTATCCCTCATTGGCTTATAACCAACAGATTAACCCCAATAAAGTTGTAACAATTCTTTGCTGCAGGTTGCTGATGTTAATTTGGATGGAGCAAATGCTTCTGTATCATCTCTAGCTTTTTGTTCACTAAACATGACTTTGGCTGTTGGGACAACAAGTGGTCTGGTTAGATCTTGTCAAATTTGTGGGCTGGTTGAAAGGTTGGTCATTGCCTCATTGGTATCATTTTTAATAACTATTTTCTATATCATTCTTTGTAGGTGTGCATCTATAAACTTCGAGAGCACACTGGGGGTTCAAGCTTTCACTTTGTGAGTGAATCTAAGCAAGAAGGTAAATATTTCAGTATGGGACCCTGATGACAGATGCCTAAAGTTTCGCCTAGTGATTTAACCTATTTAACAACCCCCCCCTTTTGTTTTGAATGGCATACATGTTTTCTGTGTGAAAGTGTGTTGCTGCCATCCTTGTATTTTTTGAGCGAGAATACAGCAGGGGAAGCCTCCACTGTAATGCTGCCATCCTTGTAAAGACAGTGTTACGCCAATTTTACTTCCTTTCACCAGCACATGCAAGATGCCTGTCATGTCTGGTAGTCTAACAAGCAGCAGCTATAACATGCTTCTTTGGTGGATGAGAGACAGTAAATGGGTACTGTCACTTACCTGAATGCTTGTTAATGAAATGAAAAAAATCGAATAGTTATGATTGGGCACTTTGCAGCGTAAACCTTGCTTATGCATCAGCCATCAGCTACCATGTCCAACATTGACAGAACCTGCTCATGTTATTTTTCACAGAAAGTTGAAATCACTTGTTCCTTTGCAAAAAATTGTAGGAAGTTCTGTAGTAAGCCGGTAGGGAAACTCATGCTAGGCCTATAAAGTTCTCTCTTTGAATACGCTTCATTATATTTTCATTAATAACAGACACTCTTCTTGTTTTTTTACAGTTCATGTTGTTCATCATGGGAAGGGATTTCATTGTTATGTTGCCTTTTTGTCATCAAATTCCTCAGTGCGATCTCTTTTATTTACGGCTTCAGGAGAGCTCCTTGCCGCAGGCTATCAGAACGGCCAGGTACATTCTTCCTATTTTTGTAATATAAATCATGTCCTTATTCCTTAAGATTTCTGAGATTGCACTATTCTCTTGAAACTTATAGTAATAAACTGTTATTAATTAATCCTTATGTTCTGGTCTGTCTTCTTAAAGGTGGCAATGCTTGATCCAAGTGAGCTATCAATTCTATTCACTGTAGATGGTGCATCAGGAACAAATTCTCCTGTTGTTTCCTTGGGCATTTACAGTGTTGCGGCATCTGCTGAAAAAGCAGACCAGTCAAAGAAAGAGAGTCCTCAAAATGCAAAGTTACCCAGAGATGTTCTTCTTTCCTTGACAAAGGATGCTCGTGTTACTGTACTTGACTGCACAACGGGTGTGATGATAAATTCACATATCATACATCAGAAGCAATCATCAGCTATTTCCATGTATGTCATAGGCAAGTGATTACTATCATTGCATTAAGTAGTCAGTTACCTTTTTTTCTCCTTTAGATCGATACCTAACTTTGCAAGCTTTTGCATCTAGATGCCTTCAGATGAGAAGCAAACCCAATTATCAGAGGACAAAATTCCAAGTCAAGATCAGGCAGGAAAAGAGGGCAAGGATCTTGACAGAATAGAAACACAAGGAGTTGAAAAGCACCTGAAAAATGCTTCCCAGCTTTCACACAATGGTGGTTCAGATTCACTTGTGGTGTGCTGTGAGGATGTTTTGTTTTTGTTATCGCTGGCATCATTGATTCAGGTGTGTACTTGGCTTTTATTCTTGAATACGCAGGAGAGCTAGCTGCGTGTCATCGCATTAAGAAGAAGAAACCCAGAAATACAACTCACCCAAATCACACACCTCTCACACAAATCAAATATATGAACTGCTTTATGGAGCTTCCATACTTCCACATCTTACTGGTGATGTTCCTTTCCTCATCAGGGAAGCAGCAAGCATCTACAGAAGACGAAACTTACAAAACCTTGTTGCTGGTCAGCAGTTTTCAAGAATATGGATGGCAAAATTTGTGGGTTGATATTAGCTTATCAGACTGGCATTATAGAAATGAGGTAGTTACAACTTTGCGATGTCTTTTCCTTGTTATACAAGATAATATGGATCATCAATGCAGATTTTACATGTTGACTTCAGGTTTATATATTAGAAAAGGTGTCCTGTGTTTACATCTGAACATATGCTTCAACATAGGGAAAAAATGTCATACTACAAGTTTTTTGCTTCACTGCTTGAACCGATAAAGATAAAAGCTGTGAACACTCAACATTGTCGTCATCTATATTTGGTGCTCAGTTCTCTTCTCTCATCTGGTTCATATCTATCTCACCATGTAGAATTCCATGTGAGTATTTTTTGGTATAGATAAGAAAAGATAATCTTAGATTTCAAACCCTTGCAGTTTTCTTGGATTTAAAAATGACATTTTTTTGAGAACTTTGCATCTGTTTTACTTACTGGCATATATATTTATACATCCGTGCAAGGGATCGGTGAAGTTTGCTCAGACCATTGACAATTTTACTTTATCATGGGCAGATCTGTGCCAGATCTGGCTATTGTTGCTGAGAGCTCCTTGATGTCATTATTGAGATGGAGTTACAAGACAGGCATGGATAAATCAGCGAGCTCCTCAAATGGACAAATTACTTTGGTATTTTTTCCCACTTGCCCCTTTAACCTAGTTCCTGAGGGTTTGGTTGGTGGGTTTCAGATTGGTGTAGTGAACTTTAGTGCCTAGTATGTGTGGTAATTTTGGTTTATATTCTCCATTGTTGTTGCCACACCCATATCGACCTTATTTTACCCAAACAGAGTACGGATTTTGGTACCTAAAATGGGTGTCATGTTTTGTTTGTGGTGAGCATACTCAAAGGTGGGTTCACCAATAAAATTTGCAACTTATCTGTTTATTCCTTTCTAAAAAGGAAACTAGGGTGCGCCTGTACCATTTGGATTTCGTATGTATTTAGAATTTAAAGAAAAAACCTCATTTTCCTGACATATACTCTCACCAGGTAAATGGATCTGAATTTACAATTATCTCTCTTGTGGCCTCAGAGAATGACTTCAGGTACTTGACCTTTTTGGCATTGTTGTACTGAATGCTGTTGAGCAGTAGATCTGACTGCTGATCCTGTGGTAATAGGATTCCAGAATCTCTGCCATGCCTTCATGACAAAGTACTTGCAGCAGCTGCTGAAGCAGCTATTAGTTTCTCAACTGATCAGAGAAGAAAGCAGGTATCCATTCATGTCTTCTCGAAATTGAGCAGAAGCTCGTGTACATTTTGGCTTCACAAGAAACTTCATGGGTGCAGAATCCTGCAGCAGGGATTATTGGTGGCTTCATTAAAGGAATGAAAGGCAAGGCTGAAGAAAATGCAAAAATGAGAGAAAGTTTGACTATGCAAACTCCAAGTGAACAGTTGGAGTCAATTTTCTTGAAAGAACCATTTGCTGAACCTTCAATACCCGATCTTGATGATCCGATAGAAGAATTGTCAATCGGTTCTCTTTCTCCTTCCTTATGCATCTTAAAGCAAGCATTTATCTCAAGTGCTCCCTTCCCTCTTGACTTGGGAGTATTGAATGCAGATGACATCGAGATTGACGATGAAGTACCCGTAGCCCCGGCACGAGCAGCGTCCTCTACATCCCAAGGGAATAAGAGAACAGCAGGTTGGAGACAATACTAGTACACCTTCTGTTCGAATTACTGAGGGCTATATTATCTATTTAAACTCTGTGCATGTTTGTGTTGGCAGTAGAGGAGGAGAGAGCGAAGCTGTTTGAAGGGTCAAGCAATGTTGATAAACCGAGAATGAGAACTCCCCAGGAAATTCTAACCAAATATAAGTTTGGCGGGGTAAGTCATGAACATTGCAATTGGTCATGGTTTTTGCTGTGTATGGGAGCTAAATGTAGGTCCATTGCAGGACGCAGCAGCAGCAGCTGCTCATGCGAAAGATAAGCTGATGCAGAGGCAGGAGAAACTGGAGGTGAAATAGTTGCTTCCAGACTACAGCTGATATCGCTTGTCTTCTTTGCAAGCCCATACTCGGAGCAATATCAAACATGTCATTCTGTTTGTTTGCTTTTTTTTTTAACCAGAGAATAAGCCAACAAACCGCGGAGCTTCAGAATGGAGCGGAAAACTTTGCTTCCCTAGCGCAGGAGCTTGCTAAAACAATGGAGAACAAGAAGTGGTGGAAGCTATAATCTGGTTTTGTACGTATGTTGTTGGACACTCACACCCATGGTGGAAGCTATAATCTGGTTTTGTACGTATGTTGTTGGACACTCACACCCATTGCATGCCATCCGCCGGGTGCTGTACATTAGTATGACTCGCAAGTGCAGTTTGCAGAGGTTTCCTCTGATACGAATCGGGTAGCTAGTTTAGCTTAGGAACGTTGTGATGTGCTGTGTACCGTGTTACACACCAGCATTATTACCATGTAATAATCTCTTTGTGTCCGTATTAAGCGTGCGTCCCGTATCCACTTGGTCATTCTTTTTGGTTTTTGGTGATGTAAAGATAAAAGAGAGAAATAAAAGGAACCCGCTCCTGGTTGCATGAGCGAGCCAGCGCTGAAGAGAGACTCTTCTTTTCGGTGGTTTTTGGTTTGTTTGGTTTCAACTAGTAGTAATCTAAGTCTAGTGTACTCATCTGTGGCTTATTAATAATCTGTTTGGCTCATCTTGTATTATATTATTAAAGAAAAATAAGAAACAATTGCCAGGGAACTGCAACAGTACAGCAAGTATACTGTTCGTGTTGTCTGGAAGCACGCAGTGGCAGTTCACATCCCCAATAGTTTTGTTAAGTACTAGTAGTAAAAAAAGGTAACATTTGCCAGTTTGTTTTTTTGACACAAACAGTTGCCAGAATGCCAGTTGAGTGTGGCACTGACAGTAGCGACAACCCCCTCCTGTCCGGTAAGGGCGTAAGGCGACCTGGGCTGGGCCGATGGATCGGAATAGGATCAGCCACCCATTTCCAAGCCGAAGTGAGGAGAGCAGAGAGCGCCAACCAGGCTCCTCTTCTTCAACGGCAGAGGCAGAGGAGCTTGCCCAAGCGGCGGCTGGACCTGGAGAGCCGCCATGGCACGCCTGCTCCTCCCCGTCTCCGTCTCCGTCTCCGTCCCTGTCCCAGTCCCCATCTCCGCTAGCATTGTGCTGCCGTCGTCGTCTAGTACTGGTACTAGTACCGCGCGGCGCCGAGGCCGCAGCGTCTGCGTCCGCGTCGCTGTGCCCGCCACGCAAGGACAAGAAGGACCGGCGTTTGACCCCGCGGCGGCGCCACCGTTCGGGCTGGCCGACATCCGCGCCGCCATCCCCAAGCACTGCTGGGTGAAGGACCCCAGGCGCTCCATGGCCTACGTCCTGCGCGACGTCGTCCTGGTGCTGGGTCTCGCCGCCGCCGCCGCGCGCCTCGACAGCTGGCTCGTCTGGCCGCTGTACTGGGCGGCGCAGGGCACCATGTTCTGGGCGCTCTTCGTGCTGGGACACGACTGCGGGCACGGCAGCTTCTCCAACAACCCCAGCCTCAACAGCGTCGTCGGCCACATTCTGCACTCCTCCATCCTGGTGCCATACCACGGCTGGTGTGTATTCTACTGTACTGAACTGAAATAGTAGTGATTCAATTCAAATCAATTCTGATGCTGCTTCTCGATCACTTAGCCGATCGACACAAGTTTGACAATGCAATGCAATGCAAGGCAACTCTGTCTATCTATTGTGCAAGTGCAGGCGGATTAGCCACAGGACGCACCACCAGAACCACGGCCACGTCGACAAGGACGAGTCATGGCATCCCGTACGCCTCCTGCTCCTGCCCTGCAATTATCTTGCATTGCATGTTTCCACTAATAATCTAGGATGATGTATCAGCTCCCCGAGCGGCTGTACAAGAGTCTGGACAGCGTCGTCCTGATGCTGCGCTTCAGGCTGCCCTTCCCCATGCTCGTCTACCCATTCTACCTGGCCAACAGGAGCCCCGGCAAGTCAGGCTCCCACTTCCACCCGGCCAGCGGCCTCTTCCAGCCCAGCGAGAGCAACGACGTGCTCACCTCCACGGCTTGCTGGCTCGCCATGGCCGCCCTCCTAGCTGCCCTCACCTTCCTCATGGGCCCTCTGCAGATGCTCAAGCTCTACTTCGTACCCTACTGGGTTTTTGTCATGTGGCTCGACTTTGTTACCTACCTGCACCATCACGGCCACAATGACAAGCTTCCATGGTACCGAGGAAAGGTAACTTCACTCTCTCTCTCTCTCTCTCTCTCTCTCCCCCCTAATATAGCTACTTTACACCAGCAGTAAAACTGCTGAAATAGAATTACTGACTACTACGCGAACTAATATAAAGGCCCTGTCACAATTCAGTGCAACTTGAAGATAATATATGCAAAGATGCATGCAGCCACATATATAAATCAGACTGTTGTTCACAGCTGCAGCTTTCAGTTAATTAATTGTGCTATACTAATGCGCTAGGAATGGACCTATCTTCGGGGTGGCCTGACGACGCTCGACCGGGACTATGGATGGATCAACAACATCCACCATGACATTGGGACTCATGTCATCCACCATCTCTTCCCGCAGATCCCACATTACCATCTCATAGAGGCGGTAAGTATAACGACTAAATCTGATTCAGCATCCATCCATGTCTGGCAGATTTTATGCCATCGCATATGTATATCAGTCACTGAATGATGATGGCTGTGCGTGCAGACAGAGGCAGCCAAGCCGGTGCTGGGAAAGTACTACAGAGAGCCGCAAAAGTCTGGCCCTCTCCCCTTTCATCTACTTGGTGATCTGGTTCGGAGTTTGAGACGTGACCACTATGTCAGCGACACAGGGGATGTGGTCTACTACCAAACTGACCCAAAACTGCATTAGCTGCGAATCGCAAGCATTGGAGGCTGCTGGAGAGATCAATGAGGCAACACACTTGCATTTAATATAATAAGAATAAGTCAAGTCATTCTTTGGGCAAAACAAAGCTACAGTACAATTTCCAAACGGGGAAGAGCAATGCCAGTTCCCTCTAAAGAGTAGACAAACTATGATGCACCATTGCTTTACTATCTGATAGATCTCAGGGCTCGTTAGGACATTAGCACATACTTAGCTGGCACTATTGCAAGAAAGCAATGCCAGTACCTTCACTTACTGCTGTCCTCAGATATGCGGTACATTATTTGACAATACAAGTGGCAGTCATGCTCACTACCTGCGCCTTAGATCTCTCTGCAAAAGGAAAACAAAAGAAAAGCTTTAAGTTGGAGACATGGAGCTCTTTTCCTGACAAATCATGTATTGCTGCTTGAAGATGATGATGTGTTTATTTTAAAGCGAACATTCTGACAAAATAAATAAATGCAGGGAAATAGAAAATGAAGTACCAAGTCTTCTTTCTGGTTCATACACTGCAATGTATTAAGCTATTATGAATTGTATCGGGTCACCAACCAAACAGAATAGAATTATATATGTACCAACTTTCTGATATGCAACTATTTTGTGCGCAACATCTTGGATTCTTAGGGCACATTTTGATGGGGACAGCAACCTCCTAGAAGCCACAAGCAAGTTGAAATCATATCAAAAAGGGAAGGCTTACTCTTGGGCCACGGTCTGTAACTGGTGTTGCTCTGCTCCCTGTATTATCTGCTTGCTGAATCATCTGTGGACTATCATGCTTATAGAATGCCTGCAAAGTTCTCACCATGAAAGGGCGGACAATGTTCACTTCCATTGCAGAGAGATTTTTGAGCTGCAAGAAGGCAAACAAGATGAATAAGGTATTGTTGGTGTCAGATCAATGAAGCAAGAAGTTAAGCTAGTATAGGAAACACAGATAAATACAGGGGAAATGGTAATTACATCCAATTCAATAATAGCTTTGATAGAACGACAGTTGTTTTAGCATCCTCAGCTCTTAAGGGGGAAGGGAAATGTTACCTTTACGGCATGGGTGCGTCCAGATATTGTCTCTAATCCAGTCTCAACCTTGTGGAATCTGACATCTCTGATGTCCTCAATTAGAGATCTCACCTGTGTCACAATCAAAACTAGGAGTAAGCATATATATATATTTTTCAATACAATTAGGACTTACAAGACACAACTAACAAATCTGCACCGAGATTGATTAAACACTCACCAGGTATGCATCTGAGATGTCATCACGAGCACTGCAGGAAACAAACGAGAGCGGATTAGTTTTAGGTGAAAAATGTGCTGAAATCGAAGAAACAGGGTGATGCAGTAGATATGGGTGCTCACTGATCAAATAGCAGCTTAGAAATTTCAATATAGTGGAATGGTAATGGCTGGAATTCTCGAGGCGACTCTCTTTCCGCTTCCAATACCTGTGTCAAGCGGTCTAGTAGGAACAAAAGCAAGCAACAGATGCTTATGGCTGTGTATGCTTGAGCAGGAATAAAAGGGGAGCAAGCAACAAGGAAGCACTGACCAACAGTCATCCAGTCCGGGGTGCGGATGGTACACTTGCTACGCTTCTTGAGCGCGACGGCGAGCCAGAGCGGCACCTTGGTGGGAATCTGTGGGAAGAAAGGCCCGAAATCCCCCTGCACGGCGGCGGCAGCAGCAGCGCGAGATGTAAGAATAGGTGGGGGATGGGGAGTTGAAAGAGATGGAAGTGGGTGGTGGCGGCAGACGCACGCAGATCATGTTGAGGGCGTCCATGCGGATGTTGGGGACGATTTCTACGATCTCATCCTCCGCCACGAACTCCACCTGCAGCACAGACACGACAAGTCCAAAAATTGGGTTGCATCGCACTTCACTTCCCTTCGACGAAGATAGTTTCTGTCTGTGGAGTGTGGAAGGGAAGGGGTTGGTTACCTCGGAGGGCGAGAAGATGGAGAGGTGCGGGTCGGACTGCCCCGCCATGAATGTCCGCCGCCGGAACACACGAACCTGGCTGGCGCCGGGACTCGGGAGAGAGAGGGAAATGGAGGCGCTGCGGGTCAGAGGCGGCGAGGCGAGAGCGGAGATCGACGAGGACGAGAGCGAGACGGCCAGACGGGGAGAGGAGGCTGCAGGCCGCTGCGCCTCTCTAAACTACAGCCCAATCCGAGGGCCCAAGAGCCCATCCAACAACAGAGCCCAACAGCCGCTGCACGCAGCTTCAGTTCGATTTGGTATAGTCGCCGCAGCGCACAGGCACAGGGCCGACGGCGGCGGGTGAGGCAGCGGCGAGGCGGGGCGCCGCGGTTGCCTTCCTCCCTGCTCCTGCAGTCCTGCTCGGCTCCGGAGAGGTTATTAGGGTTTCCATCTCATCAGCTTTGTCCCCAACGGAAACAGAGGAGGGCGGGCTAGTAGGAACCCGATGCTGGCCGCCCGGAACCCCACTCCGCCGCCCCATGACATTGCTGCGCGCCTCCACCACCTGCGCGACCTCCGCAGGGTGCCGCTCCCCAACCGCGTCGCGCGCATCGCCGACCTCCACACCGATGAGGCCAGCCCCGTGCGCAAGCTTGTCGCCGAGTGAGTTCATCCACTTTCGCCATTCGGCTTCATTTCTAGCTTAAATTACCCATAGTTTCACCTCCAATGTATTCGGCTTGTGATAAAGTCATTGAACATCAAATAACTAGTATAGCCCCCTGTATCGCAAATGAGTTTGCTCCTAAAATGTGCTGATTGCAGGCGGAATTAGGTCAAACCTATACGTGAGCACGCTTAAAAATGCTCTGTTACAGTATTTATTTGCTCATGTTTTTTTACTCTGCAAAAATTCCCCTGGCGTAGGATCATTGGTGAGCTTGGGTCAAAACACATGGCGTATCTACCTAATATGATCCCTTGTTTGCTGCACCTTCTGAATGATGAGACGCCTGCAGTTGTCAGGCAAGCTGTTAAGACAGGAACCAGCTTGTTTTCCAAAGTACTCCAAAAGCTAGTTATCGAGGTAATTCCATTTCCAGCATTTCCATTTTCGAGTTGCCTTCCTGTGCAAACATCTGTCTCAGTTTGCTGGTTTCGGATCCAGGGTTTATTCTCCACTGGAGGGATTGATGATGCACTTAAATCGTCATGGGAATGGCTTCTCAAGTTCCAATCAGTTGTCTCGCACATGGCATTTCAGGCGAGCCCCTCCTTTCTTTTAGTAACAAATAACCCTATCTTCTCGGCCTCCAGTTGTCTCATGTGAAATTTCAATGCCAGGCCATCGGCAATGAAGGTGTCAGGTTACTAGCTGTTAAGTTTGTTGAAAAAACAGTTCTTATGTACACACCAGATCCTAATGTCCCATCTGATCCGCCAACTGAAACTACAGAAGGTGCGGCTTATGTTTCCTTTCATATGGAAGTGAACATATTCTCCATGTTTAGGAACTGTTGGGTGCATGCTGATTTAGGCATCTGTAAAACATTTGCAGATATGGGATTCAATGTAGCTTGGTTACGAGCAGGAGGTCACCCTTTGCTTAATGTTGGGGATCTGGCCATGGAAGCCAGCCAGAGTCTTGGATTGTCGCTAGAGCAACTCAAGTCTCCTAAAGTAAAGTCACTCAGTACTTCCATGATCATCGTCTTTGTTACTAGGTTTGCCTCTTGTTCACTTGTGTTCTATTATCTTTCTGTATATTACAGTTTGTATTCGAGTCGCGGTCTCCTCGCATTGCACAGGCGGGGGTAAGGCTTGCCACTGACACCCTTCCCCAGACCCCGCACAGAGCGGGAGCTCTCTGCACTGGGTATGCCCTTTATATTACAGTTTGTACCAGCTGCCGAGCAATTAAGTTTTCTGTGGATGCTGTGTCATCTATTCAATTAGTCTGTTGAAGTATTGCATGCTATTTTGATCTTTATGTATCATGAGTTTTCTCCTTTTTCTTTCCCCCGCTTATTTCTCTCTCTTCTAACATAAACTTCTTCCAGTCTCTCAGCTATTGCCCAAAGAAGGCCTTCCTTTTATGGACGCATACTGCCAGTTTTACTTTCCTTGGATCCAGCAAGTTCCATTATTAAATTGAGAGTCCCGGGTGCATTCCATGCCTTGAAGAGTGCCTTCTCTGCATGCCTGAAATGCACACATTCAAGTGCTGAGCCGGTATTTCTTTAAGCTTCGATGATTAACATACACTTTTGTATTGACTGGTACACTCGAGATGTGTCCCTTTGCCCTTATTTCTATATATGCAACAACTGGAGTTAACATATATGTTATCTACGGGATGCTATGTTATGTTCTATAGACAGTCTAATTAGGATTTTTCTTTGAGACTTTTACCTCTACCATTATAAAAGATGGTCGTTTCCCACATGCCACTAAAAAGTTGGGCCGCACCCATGCGCCATCCACCTAAACTTTCTTGTCTCCCAGGCCATTCCATCCACTTTGCACTCTAACGGAGGGAAACGGCATGGAGAAAAGACCTGCTTGCCCTGAGGCCATAGAGGCTGATCAAAATCACCATTGTCCTTCTGTGCCACTCCCTGGCCGAGCTGGGCAGTTGTGTTGGCGCAAAAAAAAAAAAAAAACTGGAGTATGTACGTGATGCATGAACATATGAATTAATGTGCACCTTTTTTTAATGCCAAAAAAACTGGAGTATGTACGTGATGCCAACACAAGAAATGAACACAATATATAATAATAATATTTAACACAATATATAATAATAATATGGTTCATAGACCAACATTTGGTCACTGGTTTTCAACACATTAGCTAAAGTTTTCAACATGTCACCAACATTACAGCAGGCACATAAGTGCTTCATCCAGACATTAAGTTCTAGTCAAGCCAAAATGAAATGATGCCAGCAGGCACAGCAAACAGCAGTAGCTCATGTACTACTCATCCAAAAGCAGGCACCAGGCACAGCTTTAGCAAAACAGCCACAAAAGCAAATGAGGCCAAAA